AGCCTCCCGTGAGCGCAGGGGAAGAGCAAACTGCTTTCCAGAGACAATGCAGCAGTTTCGGGAGAGGCAGGCAGGTCAGAAAAGCACGCTGTGGCAGAGATGGCAAGGCAGTGGGGTTTATTTTTTTAAAGCCAAATATAAACAGGAAAGGAACCAAATAATTTCCAGCCTCCAGCTGTCCTAGATCAAATAAAATACCTTTTTTTTAAAAAAAAAACCCCACAAACTCACAAACAACAAACCAAAACCCAGAGAAAGCAGAGATGTCCCCATCCTGCAACCTCAGCTGTCAAGTGTCAGGGGGACCATGGGGCCCAGCAGTCCTCACTTTTCAGGCCTGGGGCAGCTGGTTTTTCATCCAGTGTGTCTTTCCGCCCAGCCCAGGCATCTCCAGCCGAAGTGAGGAGGGTAGGAGAGAGAGGTAACACACGCAGCGCTCTGCCCTTGCCTGGACAGGCAGTTCCTGTGTCCTCATGTGGGGGGGAAGAGCTACCAGCCAGGCAGGTAGGGCCCATGAAGCTGTGACATCCCTTCGAGATGCTCAGTACTAGTCAGGACAATACCCTGAGCAACCTGGTGTGAAGCTGAAGCTGACCTGGAAGGGACCAGAAGATGCCCAAGGGCCCTCCTCCAGCCCGAAGCGGTCCTTTCCTCCCCTCGCCCTCCTGCGGGCAGCAGCAGAGCCCCACAGGACGCAGCTCTCTGCCGGCCAGAGGCAGGGCTGGCTGGTGCGTGGGGCCTTGGGGGCCTCTTGTTTGTCCTGTCAAGGCTGGTGACAAACTGCCACGGCTCATCACAGAGGCCACACGCCATCCGCCTCGGCTCTGGGGGGCTGTCAGGGCACTCTGCAGCCTGTCCCCGCTGGCCCGGTGTGTCGGGGTGGCTCGGAAGAGCTTCCCGAGAGGATGCTGCACCACCAGCAGCTCCAGGAACACGCTTTGCTGGTGGAGGGCTGCGAGCAGCTCTTCAGCCTCTCTCCCAAGCAGCAGCAGCAGCACGTCAAGACATCGTCCTGTAAGGGAGGATGACCCTCCCTTGGGAGGCTGCTGCCCGCAATCCTCGCTCCCTGCTAGGCACGTCTGGGAAGAGCACGACCTCTGTGACCTACCTGAGCCCCGAGACCCAGGGGCAGCGCTCAAACCCAGCCCAGGGCTGCTGCTCAGCTCTCCGTGCTGCTTTCCTACCCATCCAGACAGCCATCGCTACTTGCTTCCTGCCCCCTCCCAGCCTCCTCCGTATTTTTCCCCCTCCACCCTCCAGAAAGCCACTTTAACCTGCTAGCATCCTGGCTGTTCTGCCCCCAGGACTGACGGCCGACCACGCAGGCAGAAAAGGGAGAAGATGATGTTAACTGCAGGAAATCCAACCCTCTGCCCCAAGGGGACCCAGGGCCAGAGGATTTTGCTGCCGCACCAGATCACCCAGGACAGTCTTTCTGCTCATCGGGACAGTGGGTGAGTGAAGTCAGACCAGAGAGGGGCAGCAATCCCCCTCCTCCAGAAAGCAAAACTCTCCCTGGTGAGCTCCGCACAGACATCTGTGCGTGATGTACACACACAGGCATCGCCTCTAACGTACGTACATTCACACGGACGCAAGGGACTTTTGGGACCCGGTGCTGTCTTCCTGGGGAAACGGTGACTGCCAGGACGCCCGTGGTGCCAGGAGAGGAGGAGGGGACAGGAGACCCACCGAACGCCCTGGCCAGTGCCTGATGCGTGACCTCCATCAGCCCAAAGAGGCGCTTCCCAGCCGGGCTGGACCTCGGCGCTCAGCCTGCGGGAACCGACGTGCATTTCAAGAGGCTGCTCAAGCGCGGCCGGAGAGGTATCCTGGTGGGGTTTCTCAGGGTTCCCTGGCCACCCTGGATGCTTGGGGTCTCCCCCAGCTGCAAATAGGTGGGAATTCCTCCTCGCCAAGACCCCTAACACGCAACACAGCCGAGCCCAGAGGCAGCAGCAGGAGGCAGAGAACGAGGCGGCCGGCCCGCCTGACCAAACAGGGGCGAAAAGGGGGAGCCTCCACACACCAGGGCCTTTGGTTCCGTCCGAAATCCCAAGAGCAGACACGGACCCTGCGCTGACGTTGCGCGGCACCTACCGAAACGCCTCTGGTCTCTTCCCAATTTGGCACGCGCAAGGCTGCGTGGGCGCTCCCGGACGCCACCAGCACCCAGGCAACACGCGCGGACGGGGCCGGCACAGCGCCGCGGCAGGCGGCCCTGCCCGCGGGGCACGGTTTGCCGAAGGGACGAGGGGTTTCGGTTACAGACCTGGCGGGGCTGCCCCGTGCCCCCCGAGTCACTTGCGGTACGCCTGTGCCCCCCTCCCGCACGTCACGCTCCCCTCCCGCACCCCCACGCAAGAACGGGAAGGGTGAAGAGCCTGTGGGCGGGGGAAGCGTGTGTGAACGCCCTGAGGAGCAACTCCCACGTGTCCCCCTTGTCCACTCCTTTCCGAGTATAAACACAGGGCAGCTCACAAAGACGGGTGTAACGGGCTCCGCTGGCTACTCCGAGACCCCCCGTCTCAAAGCACGCAGCAAGTTTTCACGGCCTTGTCCAGCACCAGCTTTTAGAGAAACTTTGGGCAGCTTTCAGGTGATTCCCGTGGCTTTTTCACGGCACGATTCCACCTGGCACTCGGGCAGTACCTCTCGCTGAGGACTCCCACAAGCTCAGTTACGCGGCAAGTCTCCTGATGCACGTGAGAGGGGCGAGGTGTCAACAGACTGCCCGTTTGGCAGGGGGGTGCATAAAGCCCCAGGGAACTCATCGGTATCGGTGCTGTCCCAGAGCTGGCCTCACCAAAGCTCAGGCTGGAATGGGGAGCAGAGCCCCGCACGCCTCCTGCACGCTTGCTCTCAGCTACCAGCACCAGCCTTGTGACTCAGCGGGCCCATTCCTTCGTGTCCCTGCTAGGAATCTTTTGGGATCTGCTTTCAACGCTCACAAAGGGCTGGGGTTTACTCCAACCCTCCAAACCAGAGATGGATTTTAAGATTTTGCCTAATGATCCCCTACCCTGCTTTCAGTTGGATCCATTTTGCTTCCGTAGAAACTCCTCAGTCCCTTCCTCCTTCCCTCCCTCCAAGTTCATTTCGGTACAGACTCCTTTAAAGACACACTGCTACTGGGAGTACAGCCCCTTCACCACTCCTGAGCACTAACCACAGAGGGCTCTCCTTCCTAAAGCCCCAAGGTTCCTGCAGACCACCACCACTCCGCTGCCAAAAGTGCTGGGCTTTCAGTATTTATTTCTCACATTTAATCCGTGCTCAATATTTCAACAGGATGGCATGCAGGGCACACATTCTTCTGAGAGGAGGGCTGTGTGATTTCACGTGGCGATACCTGAAGTGCTAGAACAGACTAAGAGCATCCACCTAACTCTACCTAATTCTCACCTCTGACAGAGCTACTGGATTGCAACCGCCCAGCGACAGGAGACACGAGCTGCGGCGAGCCCAGGCGTTGCTTCAGAAACCACAAAGACACGCGGGCCCCGCGTACGCACAAACGCCGTGTCACTCTGCACCCCAACAACACCCGAACCCAGGGGGGAAACCTCTGCAGCGGTTCTGTCTGGGCCTTTCAGTCCTGTGAAAATTCACGTGCCTTGAGCTGGGCAGCCGAGTATGTACTCCCCCAAAATCCGTTCTCTTTTGGCAAAAAGGAAGAAGGCCTCAAGCTGCAGGAATTAACATCTTTCTTCCACACACGGTCTGGCTGACTCCAGGGTTGGAGTTGCCTCCAGTTTCCAGTCACGATCCCAGCGTATTGCATAAATACCTATAGATTGGAGACGGCAGCAAGGGGAAGCTCCGCATACATCAAAGTCATTCTGGCACCGACCTCAAGGCTCCTGTGAACCAGTGCCCACAAGGTTCAGCATTGTCCTGGGAGCACTCACCGCTGTGCTGCAGATTCTGCCTTGGACATACAGGATGAACAGACCAAAAAACAAGGTGAGAACATGGACTGGGTGTGTTTCGCAGGCATGGAAAAGGGCTAGAAGCTCATCTTCTGCATTGGGAGAGTCTGTAGCAGCAGGAAGGCGACCAGCTGGACCTCAGTGTTACCACTGCCCTTGCCACCCATGAAAGCCTGGCTGCTGCTGCTGCTGCTGTTGCTCTTTCCCAACCCGGTAAGGATATCCAGAATCGGAACAGTAGCTCTACGAACAATCAGACTACAGAGGTGAAGCAAAATCTGACCAAAAATTCAGACCAGAGAAGACAGCAGTGGAACGTAAGAGACTTTAAAAACTATCACCTGCATGAGATATACATTAAAAAAAACCCAAACAAAACCGGCCCAGACACAACCGAACAAAAACCCCACCACACCGCAAGGACAAGAACTTCCTTCTCTGGAAGAGGGGGTTCTTCCACATTCCACACCAGGGATCTCACTGCGCCGACCTTCCAGGCAAGACACCCCCCCGAACGAGCAGCGTGGCAGCGTGCGCCACCCCTCCCGGGGGACAGCGCGCCCCCCAGCACGGCCGTCCCTGCGGAGCCTCACGCTTGGCCTCGGCTGCCAGCGGTGTCCCTGGGCGCTGGGGCCGGAACGGGCAGGCAGGCAACGGAAAGATGCTGTAGCACCAGTTACAGAGTCCAATGCAGTTTTCAACGCATTAAGCCAAAGGATTGTCACCAAACTTGCCTTCCAGGCAAGTTTCGCAAAAGAGGGTAAAGCTACACTCCAGCTGCTTCTGTTCTCACGTTGCCTGCTGCGCTCACTCCTTGCCTGAACTGTAGATCTTCTGAACCGTGGCACGTGTGAGCTCCAAATCCTCCGGGTACCGAATTTCTAGCTCGGTATTTGCTAGGTAGTGAATGCCGGTAAACTCTGAAAAATAGCGGCCGATGTCGGGGTGAGGGATCTCCCGAGGCTCAGAGTTGTATTCCAGGTTCTCTGTTAGGAAAGGAAAGAATCGGTTACCACCACAATAAACGGCCTGCTACGCGGCAACAAATCCTCTCCAGTCTTGTTTTTCTGTCTCTAGAAACACCACCTCCTGATGCTTTAAAGAAAACACCCTTAATCCAGGAAAACACGCACAGAGCATGCCAGCACGATCGCCCCCAGAGCCTCCTCTCCTAAGCGATGCTGACCCCGTTTACTAGCGGCATGATTTTGCGCCAGAGACCGCACCACCTGACGTTAGGTTAGAGCAGCGGGGTGCTGCCTTGCTCTCACTCGCTCGGCCTTGGTGGCAAGCACAGGGAGAAGCTGCTGCACTGAACTCTGCTCCCTCAAGTGCCAAGACTTTTTGGCTTCTAGGAGAGATCCTTCTCAAACGCTCCAAGGCAAGGCCGACTGCACAAGGCTGTCCCAGCAGGGGAGTCAAGTGCTTGCTTGCTCTAAGCCACCAGCCTGTGTTTCAACCAAGTCGCCAGACGGGTTTTCAAGCACGTCTCGCACAGCAAAACAAACGTTTCTAAATCCAAACTTCCCAAAGTGAAGAGAAAGTCCCCAAGAAGAGCACGTCCATTCTCTCCCAGAGCACCCCATTTCCTCCTTTGAACTAAAGGATAACCTGACTAAGCACAAAAGCGAAACAACACAGAGGCACTGGCATCAAAACCCAAAGGTGACCCAAGCTGAGGGCCCCTTTGCTCCCGCAGTATCGGTACAAAGCGGTGCAGCTGGGAGGCAGCCCAGCACCAAATCCCACGTGCAGGTGCCCTACAGCAGCCCCCAAACGATGACCTCTTTGCCAGCACAGCGCCAGGGACACAGGTGGAAACAAAAGCTGCCGAAGTCCCAAAGTGGGACCTACCTGCAAGGCAGGGCGGGAGCAAGATGGGATGCAGAGAACGCCATTGAGGAATAATTCCCGAACTACTCCGCTCACTACAGAGAGCGCACACAAGTTGTATTCACTGCTACAGGCTCTTGGAGGCTACTGGGTTCAGTGTGTGCAGGGGAAAGCCCAGGAGCTTTCCACACCTCAGCGGGCTGGCGCAGCCCTGCGGGCTCACAAAGCACCTTTTTCGTACGCTGCACCACTGCGGAAAACCATTTACACTCCCCTGTGCTCCGCAGAAGCAGGGCTGAGCGGCGAGCTGTGTACGAGGGGGAGAACACGGTGACGAAAGAGAAGCTGGCAGGGGGGAAGAGAGCACGGCAAGCGAGTTTGGCACGAGGCGGGGAGCCCCGAGAGACGGGGAGCCCCAGAGACGGGGAGCCCCAGAGACGGGCTGACGGGCAGTTCTGCGCCACAGACGCCCGGCCTGCGCTGCTGCAAAGCGAACGAAAGACAAGAGCAGACAGGTCGGTCCCACGCTCGCTGCGTGAAACAGGTGATTGTGGAATCAGCTGCAGCCCAGCCTGCGAATCTACAGAAAGGACTCCAGCTGAGGTACCCTTACCTATAATAAGCTTGGTGTTATTTCTCAGCCAGTTAGAGAAAACTCTGCATGCAGATTTGTTTAAGATTCTTTCAGCAACACACTACCATCCCCTCCCCGAAGCAAGGTCAGCAAGTTATGACTCCCTTCCCAAACGATCTGGGGATGCATTTTAGAGGGGATACTCAACAGTCAGGCAGCAAGATTTCAGCAAGCAAGGTCGAACCCTTCAATTTTCCCCAGCAATATCAAAACACTTGGATGCCACACAGATGACAGCACCAACCTACAGCCTGGCGATAACACTCTGTGCTGTGGAACCAGCCAGCCTCATACTTGTTTATAAACAGTCAGACAAAAGACAGAAGAGATGACTCAGCCCTAGAAGCACGGTGGACAATTACACGGTTAGTTTTCACTGAGACACATATTTTAGTACCAACCCATGGCACACGAGAATTTTTGGTTTTTAAGACTCTCCGAGAGGCTGAGAGCTGCCTAATACGAGCCATAAGGCCGAGCTGCAATGCTCCCAGTCCCCACTTCATCTTTTTGGAACCACTGAGTAGGAAGTAACTCTCAGGACAGAGAGAAACACCTGCACTTTAAACCTACAAAGGCAGGAGTGTCCCACCCTGTCATAGCCCCCCTTGCTCACATGTATGGGACCAGAACACGCCAGGGAGCACCTCCTAGTGAAAGAGCTGACCCGCATTTCGGTCAGCATTTCCCCTCCAGCAGCTTCCACACCTTCTCTTTGCAAGACAGAGTCAGGCTGTGCAGCTGCCCTGCCAGCTGGAGGGGACGCCTCCGTATCACCGGGAGAACCACACACATGGGGCAAAGAAACACTCTGTTACAACGGACAGAGTTACAGACGTGGGTTTTTCTTTTCTTTTGAACCTCAGTTCGACACTTCTTCCTGTATCCTCACCTCGCAGTCTCACCATCAGACAAGAGTTTCTTTTCTCACAGTATGTCGCGTAAAGAATGGGCGATACAGATTTCGACACCTCTTCGCGCTTGTAAAGAGGGCTTCATTTTTGTCCCATTCTTACTAGAGGTGGCACTAAAAGCCACGCTACCTCTGCTCTCCGGGATCCGGGCACAGGCAGTCTCTCGATGGCAGCTGCTCAGAGCCATGCCCTGACAAGCAAAGCCTGCGTGCTCCCTCACTAGAGCCTATTTCAACGTTCTGCCCAAAGCACAGCTATAATTTAAAAGAGCAAGAGCTGCTGACAGAACTTCAGACTTCAGCAAAAGCTGAATTACTTCTTCCAAAAGCAGCAATCGTGGTTTACACCACAAAACCAACCGCGTCCAGAACACGCTGCTTGGGCAAGAGGAGATTGCAGACCCGAGCGGCCCTTAACGTTCGCTCCCAGCAGTGCTGGTTTCACAGAGCGCAAACGAAGCAGGCCACGATTCAGGATCCTCTTCCTTCCCACCTCAACCTTAACTAACAGTTCATGTTTCATACTTAAAAAGAGTTAATAACTTCAGCATTCCTTTCTCCTAATGTGCTTCTAAACAGCCGGTAAACACGGGAGACTCCTGCTCACCTTGCGCGGCGTATCGGCAAGAGCCATCTTCCACTAGCACGTTGTAGAAAGGCTGGTGGGGGCCATGGGGAAGGCTGTGGACGTTCATATTCCGGATCCATTCGTGCCCCATCATGCAGGCGGGATCCCAGCCATAAATCACGCAGTTATAGCCATACCTAATTAAAAAAAATTGCACACCAAAGCCTGTGAAAACTCCAGAGCCAGCTCTTTTTTCCTCAAGACCAACAGAGCACAAAGAGGACAGGAGCCTCCTGTGAGCTGGCACAAGCAGGAGAGGACGAGAGGGGAGGAAAAAAATAAATTCCAAAGATTGCGTGCGTACACACTGTGTATTTTTGAGGTGGGGGGAAATGACTAGGAGCGATCGGGTAGACAGACAGGAACAAACAGCTGAGGACAAAGGAAACCCGAATGTGAGTAAGAAATGAAAACGGGAAAGAGACTGGAAGTCAGCAACTGGGAGAAAAGGAAACAAGAAATAGGGGAGAGAATCAACTGCCTACTGTGTTGTGCAATTACCTCTGCAGCCACCACGCAGACGTGGTAATCTCAATGCTGAGCTCCCAGAAACAAAGCCACCGCTATTTTCGGGTTACTTAACGTGATTAATTGTGAGATATTATAACTGTCACTGCTGATGCCCTTAAAGCATGCTCCAGATGTCTTGTTGAGTTGGGAGGAGTGGCCGAAGCAACACAGTGCTGGCACGTCATTCTGGCAGAGCAGTACAGCCAGAACCCAGAGCCTCTGGGCAATGCAGGAAGAGGGGGTCACACCAGCACAGGGAACGATCCGTAAGCTGTCTTAGGGATCTTACAAGCTTTTTTGGAAGTCAGTTCTGCTCCACAGTCCCTCATTAACTGATTACTGGCGGTTTTTTGCAAGCTCTGGGCTGCGGAAATTCTGTGTGATACATGATGACTTGGGCAAGTCACCTCCCAAAGCTCTGTGCAAGCAAACAGCAGCGAATACACTTGCTCTCTCAAAGGACAGACAGAGCTGCTCCCATTTTTCTACAAGGTACACTGCATAGATACACGTGCCTGGCATTTTCCACTCCAGGTACCTCCTTGGCAGGCAAAACCACATCTCGTTACTGTCAGAACAAACACTGCTGCACCCGTTGTTGCAGTGCAGCCTGCTAACGCGGGGAAGGTTTTGAAGAGCTCACCTCTTGTGTTTCATGACCAGCCCGATCGAAAAGCAGACCTCTTTGTGCTTCTCGTCGGAGCGGTGCTTCACCTCGGGTCCCACCTCCTCCTTCCTGCGCTCAATATGCTCCAGGGTATGTTGAACCAAGTATCCGACTGCCCCATGCTGGGACGGGTCCAAAGCCTGAATATGCTGCAAGATGTCCAGAACCTTCAGCAACCAAAACAAAAAGACATCTTCAGACCAAGCCTCTACAGCAGTCCAACCCTTACAGATATATACAGACACATTTCTCAAGTTAGCTGGGTCTAAGGGCCCAGGCCTAGAGGTCCACCACTGCATTTTCCACACAGGACTAGCTACACACTCCCTAGGAGTTCTTCACACTTGCTTAGCCTGCAGGAATCGCAAACAGTCCTCCCCTTTTCTATTTGTAAAGCTCCCTACTTCCAAGGAAGGGCCCTGTTGAGCACAGTAACTCCTTCAAAACTAAGTCACACGAGCTAATCGTGTCGCATTTTGCCACCACAGGGCATTGACGAGACCGTTTCAAGGTTTCTGAAACGTTAAAGAGAATACTGCTGCTGTGAAGGGATTCCAGATGACTTCTGGTGTGCTTGAGAGCAAACATTTCAGTCTGAAAGCACGTCTGTGGGAGCCTGGCAGAGGAAAAATAGGGCAGCACAGAAGGAAATGCAAATAACCTCCATGATGCTATACCATGTAATAGTGAACAGGAGACGGAGAGCCTGCTTGTCTCAGGATGACCTGACTCATGATGACACTGACTTTAAAAGTGAGTTCTCAAAGCAGCAAACCCTGTAGATCCAGAATACCAGCTACCAACGCCCTCTGACACACTATCAGAGCATCTCCTGCCAAGTTTGTTAGAGGCAGGCAATGCAAGTTTCACTCTTTTTTTTTTTTCCCTTTTCTTTCCTCCTTGCTCTTGCAAAACTGTTGTCTAAACAGGTTGGGAAAAGTCATATACACCTGTCCCAACATCAAATACCTCACGTGTGCCACAGTTCCAAAATGTGACACACTTTAGGAACCTGGCAAAGGACTGTCCCCTTGATCACACTCTGGAAGTTTTGGTCACCGTAAGTTCAGAGCAGCAGCAGACAGGGAATAGAAATCTCAGGCTACTGAGCATGAACATCAGGCAAGAGGTGAAGAAAATAAATTCAGAAAAAGAACAGGCGAGTGATTGGGTATGAGAAGAAGCTCAGGCTTCTTGGCCACCTTAATTTTCTGGCTGGCACCTTAAGAAGGATGTGAACACCCTGAAAAATCCTACAGAAAGGGGAAGGCCTAGCACAGCGACCACAGCTGCCAGAGATTCTTGGGAAATTCATTTACTGTCATTTGCAGACATTTAGGACAAAGTTCTAACAGCTCTGCTGTAGCTCTGCTTGGCTTGTAAGATTTTGTATCACTTCCCATAAAACCATCCGACCTCTCTTAAATCTGGCGTCTTCTGTTCTGCCAGACACAGAGCGTTCTCTCTGGCTAGCTACAATCCTGCCCCACCGCCCGGAACAACTGGATGCCCAGGAGGATGCCATACTGAAAAGTCCACATTTGCACAATTTTCGTGGTACCTGGCAACGTGATCCAGACAAACTACAGGAAAAAAACTCAGCGACTGCCCCCATACACAATTGCTTAGTTTGTGCTGTCTCTTCTGTGGTGACTCTAACACTTGCTGCCATGAGAAAGAAACAACAAGCTCAGCACAGTCTGGTCTTCAAAAGGCAGGCAGCTCCTCCAGCAGTCCTGTGCTTCATGAAATTTGGTGGAGAAAGCTTTGTTTTCTGCTCAGCTGTCCAGCCAATACTTCTGCCCCCTCACCCAAACCTACATTTGGAAACGGTGCAGGCATTGCCCAAGTGTGAGCTTCACTGAAGTAGCACAGGAAATTTTGACTAGGGAACACCTCTTTGCCGTAGTGACACCCTAAAGAAATACTACTTTTTTGTATCCCATGCTTCTCCCCTGTGCCTTCCCCTGATTCAGTGAAAGACATGGATGATCCAGACAACTTAGACACCTTGGAAGTCTTGGCACCTTCTTTCCCACGTTCACAAGAGAGCAGGACTCGAGTTGCTACACTACAGGAGACATTAAAAAAGAATCCCAAGGACAGGAATATCAAGTCGCTTTTTCACAAGAGCCCCTGATCGTGTGGCTGAAGTCTCAGAGAACAGCTTTGGTTGCATTTATAAAAGATAACTTCCTACAAGTTTTCTGATAAGGTAATTCCTCCTTCTGCATGAGTCCAGCAAGAGTTTTACCACCACTACCACAATCCAGGCATACACCACACAGAATGCTCTCGTAACTTACAGCCAGAAGTCCACCGTAGTGGTTGCAAGACAAGCTGTCAGACTCGGGCAGTAAATCATAAATTATGACTCAGACTCAAGGCTGCTCACAAGCCTCCCCTAGGGCAAGCAAGCAAGCATCATCCTCTTTTCCCTGCTTCACACGCTAGAAATTGATTCTCTGAAACGTGATAACTTGCTCAATTGCATTTATTACAGAAACAACTTGTGGCAGACTGTAACGCAAGCTGACAGAGTCCAGCAATCAATAGACCGGTGTCAACAGCACTTTGCCTATCAGAAAATGCACGACCGAGTGGCGAGGTACCTTTTCTGGCCAGATTCCCAGGTGGAAGTATAACCTAGCCTGGAGCATTAGGTGCTGCACATTGTCCGGATACATGGCCAGGTACAGATCCAACGAGTCTCTCAAGAGTTGGTAAGACTGATCAGTGCTTTCTCTGCCAGCAAAAAAGAAACTCAATTGTAAGGCTAGCTCTTCAACCCCAGCGCTCCCATGTACAGGGGTCAGACACCAGGAACGATGCTACAGGTACAGGCATGCTCATGCAGTGCGAGTGACCCCGGCACGGACTGTCACTCACCACGTCCAACAGCCTGCTCAGAAGGAAAAACACTCCACAACTGATGGCAGGACTCTGCCCACCCGCTTCGCTTGTATTCTACTTGGTCAAACAATCCTACATAGAGAATTCACTCTCCGAGCCACTCCCTTTTGAAATCTGCTTTTGCTCCCCTAGCTTAATTACACCTAAAGCCATCCTTTCACTCTGAGATTTCTGTCTGTGGCTCCTTGGGAAAGTGATTATCAGGGCATTTGAAAATAAAACCAGATTTTCTACAAACTAACAATACCTGTGAAACCGCCCACGTGAGCGCGTGGGTTGTGCTTACCAGATCAAAACGAAGGTCTCTGCTCTTAAGGGAATGGTGGACAGTCCCTATCAGCTTCTCACAAAGACAAAAATATTATCTGCCCATTTTTTTTTTTT